TCCTATAGGAATTTTTGACATTTTTCTATACATAGAAAATTTATGACATTTCCCTACATATAGGAAAGTGTCACAAATTCCTATAGGAAAAGGTTCCTACAAGTCGAGAATCGACCCCCAGGGGTTTAAAATATTTAAATTTTTACTGCATGAGACCTTACGAAATAATTAATATATCTACTTGTCGTAATCTGTCACTCCTCTTGTTTTTTTAAGTAATCATCTTTTTATAAAGGGTGTTTTTTTGAGAAGACGCCAGTGGTTTTAGACATATAATTTTTTGTCAAACTCAGATCTGAAAGGGTACCTTTTTTTCCATTATTCGCTGTCATACGGCAAATTTTGAAATATACCTCTTTCTAATAGAAACTTTACAAACCACACCGTTTAATCAAAAATCGAATCATAAACATTACTTTCCTATAAATTTAGAAACATTAGAAATAAATGCAATAATTAATTTTAGTTGTGTGAACTTGGTTAGGAGGAGGGGGTAGAGCGCTGAGTTTGGGCGCCAGCGCCGGGCGCTAACTTCACACAAGTAACAGAAATGAGAGTGAATCTCATATGTTAAATGATATAATGAATATAGCTAGTAAATTAAACAAATATGATAGAGAACATGTTCTCAAGTTTATGGATCAGTTAGTTAGAATATCAGTTCCTGATGTTTTTAAATTAGGTAAGAACGTCTCAAATCAAGGGAAGTGACCTAGATAGAATAGGCTATAATGTTAATAATTCTTGTAATAATAATAACAATAATAATAATAGTAATATGAATTTGAAAGGTAAAAATAATTTAGACTCTCTAATTTTACTAAACATAAATTAAAAATTTTCCAATGGAATATCCGAAGTTTAAAATCCAACTATGATCAGTTAAAGTATTTTCTAGAAGAAATTAATCCAGATGTCGTATTATTGAATGAAACTTGGCTAAATAACACATATTATTTTAAAATAAAAAACTATAGTATATATAGACAAGATAGAATTGATGGATATGGGGGTATTATTACATTGATTAAAAATAAAATTGACCACCAGTTTATTAATGAAGTAAATTTTTTAACACCCACGCAGACATTGACAATAAAAATTAACTCATTGAATTTACATATAATTAATGTCTATAACCCATCAGGTAATAGAATTAATATCAATCAGTGGAATTCACTTTTAAATAATACACCAAAACCTTTTATTATAATGGGGGATATTAATGCCCATGATCAACTTTGGGGTTGTCACAATTGTGACTATAATGGTAAAATTATTAAAGAATCTCTGGTAGAGGAGGGTTTAATTATAATGAATGATGGGAGTCCAACAAGAGTTGGGCTACCGGTACAACATGAATCGGCAGTAGATCTAACTATAGTTACTAAGGAGCTAGGATTATATCTACTTGTCGTAATCTGTCACTCCTCTTGTTTTTTTAAGTAATCATCTTTTTATAAAGGGTGTTTTTTTGAGAAGACGCCAGTGGTATGTTCATAATGACTTGGGTGGTAGTGATCATTATCCAACTATATGTGAAGTATTTAATAATAAGGATATGGTTTATACAGTTAGGAAAAGGAATTTAAAAAAATCAGATTGGAATGGCTTTAGTAAGGATATAGAAGTTTCATTCAATTCGTTTAGTGGGGATTTGGACTATATAAATTGGTATGAGTTAGTATAGACAGGTCAGCAGAAAAGTACATTCCTTATTTTAGCAACAATGGAAAATGTAAATACAATGTTTGGTGGGATAAGGAGTGTTCGGATTTAGTTGCTAGAAGAAGGCAGGCAATACAAAAATATAAATTGGAAATGAATACAGTAAATTATATTGAACTTAAAAGGGTTCAAGTTCTTGTTAAGCGAACATTTAAAATTAAAAAAGAAAACATCTTTCAGAGAATTTTGTGGGACACTAAACAGAGATACTCCAATTAAAAAAGTTTGGAAAGTAGTTAAGCGCTTTAAGTCCTACATGACTAACAATAATATAAGCTTCCCAAATAAAGAAATTGCCCAAAATTTGCTGGAGTCACTAACTTACTGTGACATTGATCCGGAGTTTAACATAGTTAATAATAATATAGATGTAAATCCATTCTCCTTTAATGAGTTCTGTAATGTAGTAGAGGGAAGAAAAGATAGGGCTACTGGTAAAGATAATATATCTTTCTCGATATTAAATAATCTCCCTAACGTGGCACAACTTAAATTACTGCAATATTATAATTATAGTCTGGAGACTGGTAGTGTTCCTGTACAATGGAAGGAGACTATTGTGGTTCCTATATTAAAAGAAGGTAAAGATCAGGGCTCATTTGAAAATTATAGACCAATTGCATTAACTTCATGTGTAGGTAAAATTTTGGAGAGTATGATTAAGATTCGCTTGGAATGGTTTTTAGAACATAATAAGATCCTTCCAAAATTTCAAATGGGTTTTAGAAGGGAAAGGGGATGTAGTGATGCAATTGCAATCTTGTCACACTCAGTATTAAAAGCTTTTAGTTCAAAAAATCATTTAATTGCAGTATTCATTGATCTTAAAGCGGCATATGATAATGTAGACATCCATATTCTTTATAGGAAAATGTTAGATCTTAATATCCCTTCATATTTTACAAATGTAGTTTTCAATTTGCTATATAATAAGAGAATATATGTTAGGGATATGAATTATGAATTAACTGGTCCTGGGTTAAGTAGTAAAGGTCTGGCTCAAGGTTCACCATTGAGCCCCTTCTATTTAAATATATATATATATATGATTTCATTGTTCGATATTATTCCGGATAATGTTAAAATGATTCAATATGCTGATGACTTGGTGCTTATGATAGAAGGGGATATAATAGCAAAATCTATCAATGTAATAAATCTTACTCTGGATAATGTCGCTGAATGGTTAGACAGTCACAAACTCAAAATCTCTCCACTAAAATCTTCTGCTGTAATTTTTAATAATTCATATAGGAAATTGGTAAGCCCTAATATTAGAATTAAAAATAATATAATTGTAATTAAAGAAAATGTTAAGTATTTAGGTGTCTCAATAAATAATAGATTAAATTGGAATGTTTATGTACAAGAGCTAGAAAATAAAACTCAAAAAGGATTAAATATAATGAGAGCGATAAGAGGTATCCATTGGGGAGCAGATCCATCCACTATGCTTTCTGTATACAAAGGTTTAATTAGATCTCACCTAGATTATGCATATTATGTTCTGAGACCATGTAGTAAAAAAATATTAAATATATTAGATAGGGTACAATACAAAAGCTTGAGGTTAGTAACAGGAGTAATGAAATCAACACCAATCAACTGCCTACTTGCTGAATCTGGTGAAATATCCCTTGAATATAGGAGACAATTGTTAGCCATTAAAGTTCTATTTGAAAATAAGATCGGACAATAACAACCCCCTGAATGCAATTTTAGATTCTTTGTCAGATATGTATGGAGCTAGGATTGGTTTTTGGAGAGTGAGGGACCCCCCCCTTACCTAATTGAAGCTAAAATTGTAGCAGATCATGTTATTACTAACCTGTATAGAACAGATGTAAATCCGTGTTTCCAAATTGAAGTGTCTGATCAAGTCGATAGAATAAGAACAGTCTTTTCAGCTGCAAGTAAAAATGGTATTTATAGTGATCAATGTTTTTTAAATGAATTTGCGGATAAATTTATGTCATACTTGGGTATTCACTAATGGTTCATTAAATCCTATAGATCAGAGTGTAGGCTGTGCAGTTCATATTCATGATATTAAATATAACTTTTCTACTAGGCTACTTGACCATACACAAATATGTTCTGCTGAAATTTTAGCTATCAATAAAGCCATTGTGGTATGCATAGAGAAAGAATTAACAAAATGTATAATCTTTTCAGACTCTCAGAGCGCAATTAGAATGATTGAACACAAAAAATATGGGAATAATAACCTTAATGCCTTAAAAACCAATAGACTATTATTGGACGCTAGTAGGGCTGAGTTTGAGTTCATTCTAGCATGGATCCCAGGTCATATGGGGGTAATGGGTGACAAACAGGCAGATGATCTGGCTAATATAGGTAGAGTTTTGAATGTTCCAGCTGATATTAAAATAGACAGGCATGATTATTTTCCTTATTTTAAAAAACGAATATTTAATGCGCACAACATTATCTGGAGTAGATCCTTTTTGGAAAAAGGGAAATGTTATCCAAATCAGGGGGACTTTCCTCATAAAGCTTGGTTTTTGAAATTTCCATATATTGATCGCAGACATATTACAACTATTATTAGGTTGAAGACTGGGCACACCCTTTGCCGAGCTCATCTTTTTAAAATTGGGTGTAGCGATGACCCATTCTGTGAATGTGGTCAAATTGAAAGTCTACATCATATATTTTTTGAGTGTTCCTTGAACATTACTTTTAATTTTTATTTATATAGAGAATTGATTAAAATAGGCTGCACTTCTCCTATCTCACTTCCTTGTATTTTAAATCACCTAAATTTAAATGTTATTAAAGTTATTATGAAATTTATTAACACATTTAAAATAAAAATTTAATATACAAATAAAAAAAAAAAATAAATATATATATATATATATATATATATATTCTTGTTAATTCCAGAATAATTCCCGAACTATTTAACCTGGGTGCTTTTTCTATCTATCCGAGGCAACATTTCTGGGTTTGTGTAGATGCTCGGCAGTTGCCCCCGAGTGAGAAAAGTTTATACCTTTGTTGTGTTGTCTTTTAACATGTTTAGCCTATGTATCAAGTATTAATACAATCAATGGAAAAGAGTGAATATGGATTTTTCTTCAATGGGAAGATGGAAAATTCCAGACGTTCTTTAATGAATATTCCCGAAAAATAATAAGCTAAATTACCTGCGCTGGCTAAATACCCAAAGGGTGGAGGCCAAAAAACAAAAAGAAGAAGAAGAAGACAAGAAAAAAAAACTAAAAGATGAAAAGTCAATGAATTATGACGTATGACGTAATATACGATTTTGGTTTTGTGGTTTTGGATTCTGTTATGATTTTGAGAATAAACAACATGAATATACATCGTGGCAATAAATAAAAGAAATAAATATAAACCACCGCTAAACACGTGAAGGAAGGAACACTCTCATAGATAAATAATAAACTTTATTTTATATCAAACAAATGTGAATTTAAACTTATGGGTAAGTATTTACAATATTTGAATCCTTAATTTATATTTTCGATATCTAAATAGTACATTTTTGTATTCATAATCAATTTTCTTTTATAGGTTTAAGTAAAGTCTCGAGTAAAGTAATACAATTTTAAAATGCGTTTATTACTTTTATTATTTTATGTAATAATAACTCAAGCTGTAAAAGATGACTGGATAGATCCTCATGAAATTAAATTAAACAGCAATGCCAAAAAAAAATTAAAGAGATCTATGAGTGAACATGACAAAGATCAGTTTTTAAATGTTAATCCAATCGTAAAAGAAAATGAATCAAATACAACGCCAACTGTTGAAGAAAGTACATCGCTAACATATTTAAAAAGAGCTGTAAACCTGATAATAAACTCTGCTAATGCAGAAAAAGGTGATCCTAGTGTATATACAGGATCTTTTAGTTTTAAAACAAATACTGAAGAATTCTCATTTTTAACTGATTTTAGCAAGAAAGCATTAGTGAGTGTTGACGATATTAGACGGTTGGATTCAATTTTAAGTGAAGTTTTCTCTAAATCTAATGAATATAATTTCATCAGTATAAATATATCAAAAGAGGAAGTTTTTACTGCTTTATTTCGTCTGGATGTTCTTATTATATTTGGAATAACGGTCTGCCTTTTAGTTATGTACTATTTACTCAAGAATAAGTATGGCTTTTTTTATATACTTTCGTATTTTACCTTCCTAATACTAATTGTTGATTATGCTGTCCGCTACAAATTTTTATATGAGGTTTGTATAATGTTTTATACAGAAGTAGTTTAAGTTAATTGTAAAATTTACCACCATGTTATTAATACATTGCCTGCCACTCCTTTCTATAAGACCTAGGCCTATATTTATAAACCGATCTCAGTTGAGTCGGACTTGACTGAGTTGTCCTTGAACAAAAATAGAACTTTATATAAAAATTTAATGAATCCTCTTTTAATATGTCGAATGAATTTTAAGTAAATTTTGAATCTGCTGACAACAAAAGTGATATTGATGAAGATTATATAATGAATAAAATTAAATGGATTTATTAAATTACTTACATTTGTACTGATTTCTAAAATGCTGACACAACTAAAACGATCTATTCCATTAGCTTTTGATAAAGTAAAAATTTAGATTAATCTGGCATGTAATGTCAATAAATCTGTCTATTATGATAGGGAGATATAAAAAAATTGTAATTTTCAAAATGACATTTCACTTACCTAAAATCTATTTTGACATGATTGATAGATTTAACTGAAAATGGCTCTAAATTGAAGGACTGGGCTAGATTTTGATCTATTTAATGGCAAAGCGAAACACCAAAGTGAATATACCATTCTTAAATAAATACAAATTTTACACAGTTGAGTAGCGATATATATTTGTTTTAAGTAAAAACTTGTTTATATAATAGTTGCTTTCAGATTTATGGTCATTTAAAATCATAGAGGTGAATTTCTATTGAATTTCAATATCAATAAGGTCTACAGGCTGGATATACTAACTTTCATTAAAATGTATGAGTCTAATAAACATTGACAGATGGTTAGACTATAAGTAAGTTGAAATTTTTGTCAATCAGACAGACAGATCACACTCTGTTAAATTTTATCAGATTCATACATTTTAATGAAGGGTTTTGCAACCGGCTGCAAAGTGTTCCTTTTTTTACATTTTTGTTATTTTCATAATCACTACTGGAAATAAGACTGATGGTCTTTAAAAAGTTTTTGAATTAAGAATGCAGTTTTAAGATTTGTTTGTAAATATCCTCAAAAATTTGGCTAGTTTCAATAGTTTTAGCAATCTAGGTATTATGTATTTGAAAACAACCCTGGCAGGCGCGGCTCGTGGCCTAGTCTACGAGGAGGCTACTTTTGATAGACACACCCTATATACTTACTACAAAAATATATTTCTATTAGAATACAATGTAATATTTCTGCTTTTTGTATACTAATAGAAAGGTAGCCTCTAGACTAGGCCACGAGCACCACCTGGTGGTCTTGAAATGCCAAAAGGGTTCAGCTGTATTTTAAGAACGAAAAAATATAAATTTTGCACTTTTAAATTATAAAAAATCTACTTTTATTACTGCAATTTATTTAATTGTTAGTCTAATATTAAATTGCAATTTTTAGAACCTGACAACACCACCAAACAATTCACAGATTAAATGATGGAATGTAACTTAGAACAAACAATATTCACATACACTAGTATCACATACAGATTTAAAACATGTCCTGACAATATATTCTCAAATTTTCAATATAAAGAGTATGGTGGTAAGAGACATTATCTGATCATGATTCTCAAATATTAACTTTTAATAGAGGAAAAAACAATAGAAATGTCGACTTTAAATTATTTATTACAAAACAAGACCTGGAGCACCACAAGAGATGCCACTTCAGCTATTGCAAAAACCTGTGCTTTCCTAGAATTTTTTTTTAACGCACTTTAATTACTCTTTTCCTTTAATTCAGAAAAATATGTCAAAATACTGGATAAGCGATGATATAAAAAATCAGAAATGGTGCTATTCATGCATGACATATAAATGTAACCCTACAGTTTTCAACAAAGCACAATATCACAAACAAAAGAACAATTGTAACAAAACAAAAATCCATTTGTGGAGAAATTAATAAATCCAGCAATAAAACAAAAACAGTGTGGGGTATAATTAATAGGGAATTAGGATCACACTACAGATAACATCATAGATGTGAATTCTTTCAATGCGTTTTTTATTAACTATATAGACAAAATAATAAATGTTCATATACCAACCCATATACCTTTACTCAACCATCAGTGTGGAAATAAAAGAGCAAACTCATTCTGTTTTAACTCGGTCAGTGAATATGACATCATAGAAAAACTTAAAATCTAAAAAGACTCGGGACATGTATGGGATCAACACATGCATTATTAAACAATACTATTTTAACATACTATCGCCACTCACGGATATAATAAATAGTTGCTTAGTTGAAGGGATTTTCCCTGATCCCCTGAAATTATCTAAAATGTTACCTATTCATAAAAAAGAAGATGATACTCTGCCAGAAAACTATAGATAAATCCATATCTTACCACCTTTTCCAAAATTGTCGAGAATGTGAAAGCTAATCAATCAGCACAATACTTTGAAAACTATAAGCTTTTCTCTAATGCACAATATGGATTCAGAAAAGGAAAGAAAACTTCTGATGCAATTATGTCCCTCGTAAAAAATATACAAGATGCGTTTGAAAAGAAATACAATTGTATTACTCTACAAACAGATTTATCCAAAGCTTTTGACTGTGTTAACTATGCAAAACTTGGCCAGAAGCTTAGTCCTTATGGCATAAGAGGAATTGCAAATGACTTAATTGCTTCATATCTCAGGGGCAGACAACAGAGTGTATACAGCAATGAATATAGTGATCTGTTAATGATAAAGAGAGGTGTCCCTCAGGGATCTATACTTGGACCTCTTCTCTTCATTATCTACACAAATGATCTCCAGTCTACATGAAATCACACTTTCGGAATCTATTGACAACAATGTATGCAGATGACACTAACTTCTCGTACTGTGATAAATCTCACAACACCAAACTCAGTGAAGAAGTAATGGATACAGCAAAGAATTGGTTTGACCACAATTAATTGTTCATGAACTCGGACAAAACCGAAGTTTGCACCTTCCAATCTTAATCAAACTCTGATAAAAACAGCATCAAATTTTTAGGGGTACATATAGATTCTCGTATAGCCTGGAACCAACAGATTGATGCACTCTCAAAAACTATTTGTGCAATTCGAAGAATTTCATACTCCAACATCGAAACAACCCTGTTAACTTATTTTGGATTATTCCACTCTAAGCTCACGTGGTATCTTAGAATGGGGTAATACATCTTTTAGTAATTTACAAAGGGTGTTTGTTCTACAAAAAGCAGCTATTTGATCTGTTGCAAAAGCAAACTCTGTGTCCCACTGTTCAAACAGCTTAAAATCATGACAATTTTCTCAGCTGTAATATATGAAATCATACTATATAAAGAGCAACACATTTTTATTTAATACACACTCTCAAAACCACTCATACCATACAAGAGGGAAAGATGCATTAATCCAACCTCGTTTTAGGATTAATAAATCTAAAATATTGGGTGTAAATTACTTCAATGCATTACCAGAAGGGATATGGGCACTCACTGTTAAAAAATATAAATAACAAATTAAAACCCTTATGATTGATATGTGCTTGTATAATTTAACGGATTATTTTGAAGCAATTAAGCATGCTGACTAGGGTAACTGTGTAATATGTTCTGATATTAATACAGGTCAATAAATTAATATAATTTTAGTCTTGGGCTGTGATTAATGAACTACTATATTTTATTATAAATTGAAAACTATTGCTATGATGCAGATATGTATCTGTATGTGTGTGTTTATATGCATTATAATAATATGTTTTCTTTTTTTCTTTATATATTTATTATTATTATTATTATGATTTATAATAATAATAATCTCCCCCACACTAAGCTTTGTTTTCTGGGGTTCACTTGCAAAGGTTTAAATTATAAGGAAAATATTCAAATATCGTCTCTGTCCAGGCAAAATTATCGTATGCGCCATTTAAATAATTTTACAGGAAACGCAAAAAACTGTTTTTCTGCTTTATGTTTAAAAGGTTTTAGAACTTTGGCTATAGAATAAAATGTAAGTGACATAAGCTTAGGATATTTTAAGAAGATTATGGTGGATAGAAAGTGACAAATATTGATAATATTGTAACGCTTGCGATATTTTATGATTTGTGGGCGTATATGGCAAATTTTTAAATCAAAATTTGATGTTTTATGAGTTTTGTAGCAAACTATTTTTTTTTTTTTTTTTTTTTGAGTGGACGTAACTCACTTATAGACGATTCGGACAACACGAAAATCCCAGATTCGCAAAAAATTTTGCTTACGATACTTTACCTGGACAGGGACGATATATTTTACAATGTTTACCTTTAATGTGTATCTACTTTATGCCAAACTCCTTTTTTATGGATAATAAATTTTAGGAAGCTGAGGAACATAATCTCAAGTTATTATATTCAAAAGACTGCGATGTAGCGAAAATGAGTTGGACAGAGTATCTTAAATTTGTACTGAGTAAGTAAATTTATTATTTATTTTGAAAGGTTAAAAAAGTTTTTGCACTATTTTTTACTTTATATAAAATATTTTTGAGTACCGAAATTTAAAAACCGGAATTTACTTTAAAATGAATTGAATAAGATATAATAGGAACATGCACATAACAGATAGAGGCCGCTGTCAGCAATCACCTCCCGCTCTTGCCACTACGTAGACAAATTAATGGACGACGAGTGACAATGGTGTCTGTATGTTATGTGCATGTTCCTATTATACTTTGTTCAATTCATTGTAAGGTATATTCCCCGTTTTTAAATTTTCGTCACTATAGATACTGTAAGGGTTAAGATTTGACAAATTTGTATGGACAATAGCTGGCATCAAAACTAAATTTTCTTATGTTATCCCAATATACAAATTAGGTAGAATATCTTAAATTTTTAAAACCATTATAACTGACTACCTTACTTATGACTACCCCAGCATCATAACTGAAAAACAATATGGTTTTTTCTTGTCAGTAGCCTCGAAAAAGAGTTACAAATAGTTTTTGTGTATACTGAGGCTTTTAATAGTATTAAACATACTTTCTACTTCAAAAGCTTAACAAATATGGTCTGGGTGGTGTATTTCTGCAATGGATTAGCAGATATCTTACTAATAGAACCCAAATGGTCAGAGTTAATACCACTATTCTAACTTATTTCCAGTAACATCATGGGTCACATCTAGGACCGTTACTACTTATAATTTATTGTTTCTGTAACAACAAAGCTTTATTATTTGCAGATTACTTAAACTTAAAACTTATTGTTATAACCATGATGCCGCCCTTAGACTTTAGTCTAACTTCAATAACCTCACATGGGCGTCGTTTGGGGGGGGCAAGGGGGGCAGTTGCCCCCCCCTGGCTTTTAGCGACTTAATCAACAACGCGTAAGATATGCCTTACGAACAACAATCTCATATAGAAATAATAATATTCAGGCTAATATAGTTGAAGAATATTATAGGTTGAATATATTTATTGCATATCTGGATTCCCTTATTACGTCGGTTACATCACGCTTTTCCGAAGATTCTGTTAGTTTGTCCTTACATCCCAAAGGCATAAAAACAATACTTTTTCACTACCAATTAGAAAATGAAAGTAGTGGAAAAATTTGGAATCGACAATTTTGAAGCTGAATACCAAACTGGAGTACGAAAGAGCTTTCTACACACAATGAACTCTCCATTAATGATATAGCATCCAAACATTGTGAATTTTATCCAGACATACAAAGTGGTTTAAAAAATATTTATGGCTCTTCCACCAACGACAGAGTTAATCGAAAGAACGTTTAGCTAAGGCATGTTAAAACATGGCTACAATCTATTCGAACAGTGCGAAGTCATTGTAGGGAAAGCAAAAGCGATACTAGCGCAAGCTGCGGATAATTCGAGTACTTTAGGGGGATATTTTGTAATTTTGGCGTATTAAATACACGTATACATTTTAATTTTTACTAAAAAATAGGTTAAAAACAATAAAATGAGCAACCGGAGTTGATATGTATTATATAAATTTTCAGTAGCAAAATAGAAATTAAATCAAAAAATTAAATAGACATCTGTATAATAAGAAAAAAAAACCTTTATTTTTGTAATAATAACAATAATACTGGAAATAATAAACATCAGAAAAGGTTTTAAATAAACAATAAATTATTATTTTATGATATTCTTCAACATCCCCTAAGTCTTAAATGTTTAGCAAATGATTAGATTTCTGCCTTTAATTATTGTATATGGCTGAAATGTAATCTTGTGACTTATTGATAGGAAACCAGTTTTAATCATTAATTTCTATGGGTTCTTTCGAACTAAAAATGAAGAAAATATAAATTACAATCGCAAATATACCAATTATTTTTGTTAATACGTTTTAATTCTACGTTAATATATAATAGTAGTGTTTTTATTTTGACAATATTTAACCTATTCTTCAATGATAACTTATTAGGTTTAGGCAAGATCTCATACATTTTCTCGTAAATACGTACCTAATGTTTTATTATTGATTTGTATTGATTATACTACTTTTTTTTAGCTGAAGTAATAAAAATATATAATAATAATAATAATAATAATAATATTAATAATTTTTTCACTTGTTTTATAAATCTATATACTTTTATTTTTTCTTTTTTTGTTGGGTTATTTTATTTATTAGAGACTTGTTATGACAACTTAAGTATCAGTTCTGTCAAATAGGTCAGTGACATTGTTAGGGTTACTACTACAGTACGCTAATTCAGTGATGATGTAATTATGGTTCCACTGACAATTAAAGCGACAGTAGATTTTTTGAGTGCGTTTTGTTTACCTAAATTATATCGTTTTTTCACTTTTATAAATATATTCCTAAAGTAAGTAGATAACATGCGTCAAATATACAATCGTTTAGTTACCAATTACATACCTTTAAACTATTTTTTATGACCTGTAAACAATATTTAGAAATAAACTAAAAACAGTAAAAACTTATATGTCAAATTTATTGATGTTTTTGTTAAAAGTTTGGTTAGAATTAAATGTCAGTGGAACCAAAATGACATCACACTGAACTAGCGCGTTCCACTCCCCCTTAGCTTCGCTAAGTGAGATATCAGATTAATTTTGTTCTGTTTGAAAGACTTTCTTATGATGGATTCAATTGTTCTGTGACGTCATGGCTTACTTCCGATTTTTCCGAAAATAACAGATTTTTTTTTATTTTTAAAAGGAAACCCTCTTTTTTATTGTAAATTTAAATTTCTGGGACATTTTTGTATAATAATCGTGTATTGACAGTTTTCTGTCTATGTTACTATTAATTCGTTTATGGAAAAACATATAGGAATGTACAAACTTCATAAAATCTTTTTAGGCTTAACAATTCCCATTGAGACCCATTTACCTTATACCAGTGGCGTATCTCAGCATTTTTATTATTAGCAAACCGTTTAATAATTCTATCCGCTTTTATCTTCGTTGTTAATTGAGATATTGGAATGAAAACTTATTTGATTAAAAGCTTGGGATAAATACTCTCATGTACTGGATTCAATTGGTGTGTGACTTCATAGCTTACTTCTGTTTTATCGGAAATAACAAAATCTTAATGTATTTTTAACTTTTAAATAGAAACCTCCGTTTTTATTGAACATTTGAATTTTAGAGACATTTATATGGATAAGAATCATGTGTTGAACATTTTTTGTCAGCTGCCAAAATGATCATCATATTTTTTAATATGTTACTGAGAAAATTTTCAATACACGCTTCTTATACAAAAATGTCCCAGAAATTCAAATTTTCAATAAGAAAAAGGGTTTTCATTTAATAATAAAAAATAAATTGTGATTTTCTGTTATTTTTGGAAAAACCGGAAGTAAGCCATGACGTCACAGAATAATTAAATCCATCATAAGAAAATTCTCTTTCATGTTTCATTTTCTTTGTTTTCCTATAAATAAACATACTAAATTTTTTCAAAATTTTGCCCCCCCCTATAGAATTGTGTAACGACGCCCATGTAAACCTCACAATAGTGTTCTTTGAATAGAATGAAATTGAATGCACATAAATGCTATATCATTTGTTTTGAGCGTTTTCCCCTACCTCCAATTATCTTAGATTCGGTTAATCAAATTAAAGACTTATTTTAAATATCATTTTAAGCTTTAACACATATTTGTTGCTGTTCACAAATCCATGAAAATGTTGAGTTTTATCAGAAGGATATCCCATCATTTTACTGACACAACTGCAATTAAAGTTTTTTATTAAGCTCTTCCATTTGGTCTCCGTACTACATAACATATAGTAGGAAAATATACAGTGTTCAGCACAATTTTCTCAGATACATAGCATTAAATATCTAAATATCTTACTTTGCTTAATATTATCAATGGTAGATGCAAATGTCCTTAACTTCTTTCAAAAATAAATCTTCAAACCCGTTCAGCTAGGCAACTGCAAACATTTTATGTGCTTTTTTAACAGCTGCATTCCAAGAGTGCTTAGATTAGCTGACTTACACAATTATATTAGACTCTTTAAAATTCCCAATTACCTAATTAATTACTCAATTACTTAATGCTGAGCTAATGTTAATGTTTTTACTGAGTATTTTTTGACCTTCAATTCACCTATTTTATAATTTTAAATGGTCTTAGTCTGTATGACCGTACATCTTTGTTTGTGCTACTGCACCACAAATATTTTGGATATTTTAAAATTGTAATTTAAATGGACTTGCCCATAAATAAATAATTAACATGGTTCCAAATCTCCACAGTTTTCGAGAAAAGTGTGAAAGACGATTTAGAATTTTTCAGTAAAGCTGGTAACGTTCTGTTGCCAGCTGGCCAAAAATGTAATAAAGAATATCAAGCAAAAAAATAAATTAGTTTATTTTGCATCATTATTTCAAACTTGAAATAAAATGCAATTTATATTATTTTTTAAATTAACAAGTTAATTAATGTCACATCATTAATTGTCTATTCTATCATGGAAATGCTTGGACAAATATGCATTTACACCATTTAAATAATTAAATATGTCTAAAACAAACCTATCAAAATGTAACAAAATCAGGATGTGTATAGTATTCAAAACCTTTATAAGAGTTTTGCGACTTAAAATGGCAAATAGGTTTATTAAAATTGAAGTCCTTTTGGTGTCTTACTATTAACGTGAATTTGAATGTGGATATAATTTTCCATATGGATATCGAGGCCACTAGTTAAGATATTTTTTTTGTGCACCACTTGTAGTTTTTCAAATTCTTATTCATCCTCCGGGCATTTTGATAAATAAATCTAGCTTTCGAGCTTAAACTTACACAAATGTTTGGACCTCTGAGGATTTTGTGGTAAATTTTTCTTGTTCAATGCCAATTTCTAATGTTGATGGCTGAGGCTCACAGATTTCAGCAATGTACAAGGCATTTTCTTTGCAATAAGAATTATCATTAAAAACTGAATCAAAAACTAGTTTGTAAATATTACTTACAGCATTAACCCTTAACTGGTCCGGCGTCGTTTGTCAGACTACGCGATATACACAATTCTTTCTTATTGGTATTGGGAGCTCCCAAAGGCAGGTCCTTACATCTAATGCTTTCCCTATTAGAACTACACAGGTAGCCATGTTTGCGACAGGCTGGCGTCAGTTTCTTAAAAGTTGTGGCAGAAATTAGTTCAAGTTTTAGATTTGTATTTTATGTAAGTTTTGACAGTTTAATATTGCAATATGAAAGTTTTTCTTTTTTCTTGTATTTTTTGCCTTTCTTTTAAAAATATGTACTTTTTCAAAATTTCTGTGCGGGTTTTAGTTTTGTGTTAAATTTTGTTTTTATTTAGTTTTAAATATGTTTATTTTTACATATTATTATTATGATTAAGTAATGTTTTTAACATCTATGTTAAATAAAATATTTCATTTTGCCTATTTCATTTTTTTGTCCTCCGAAAAAAAGTAGTCTCACAGACTACGTCGGACCAGTTACGTTACTGGTAGAGTGCCGGACCAGTTAAGGGTTAAGAACTGCAATTTTTCTAAGACTCCTGTTTCTAATTTTTTGATTATTTTTAAAATGACTACTGCATAATAATATTGAATATATCACTACCAATATCTGTGAGTGCTTTACTGTTTATTGCTGAAACCAATTTCCTCATTTTTGGAAAAGATGCTTAAATTAGGAAGGTAGTTAAATTATATCTAGGTGATTCAAAATCCAATACACCTTCAAGTGCAATAGCAACAGCCATTTTAAATTCTTGAAATTTATTGCATATTGTTTTCTTTACCACCGTCGTTTTGTTGATTACTGGTTGATTCCTATAAGTGTCATTTTTGTACTTGGACAATTACTCGACTCTTGAATTCGTGGGAATAGAAAACCGGTTTTTTCTCTTTATCTGCAACGCACAAAATTTGTATTTTTGTCTCATACTTGCCTCAAGATTTCTACTCCCCGAGATTTAAGAATAGATACACTGCTGAGCGACGATTCTAGTACACATGTACTAGAATCGTCGCTCTGGAAGCACGTTCCATATGCGTTGACTGTAACGACGCGCTTGGCAACGAGCACAAATTAGAAATGCAGATATTCTTTAATTTCAATTTAGGCTATAACATCAAAAAACTGTTAGCCATGAAAATTTGTAATTTGTACGCGAACTCCATATTTTGTCAAGAATTGCGAAAAATATCGAATTATGTACAAAGTTACAATCTCAATAACTATAGATTTTTATTTTGAAAAGGAAATGTTATTAAGCAGAAAGTAATAAATAAACGTACATAAAGAATATATATTTTATCTTGCAACACTCTCTCTCCTCGCCTGTTTTTTCTACTTAATTATTTCTGCAATCATGGAATAATAAAAATAAGCAGAGATCAGAGTAAGACGATGGCGGAGATACGAAATACCTCATATTCTCATAACGGAACAATGCAACGTGACATAAAACATTACGTTTTTGTGGGTATGGGCACTTTCGGCATGTACCTATATTTATGATTTACAGACTTACATTAATAAGTAGATTAATAAATTAATACATTCTGACTTTTTCAATTCTTTTAAAACTTCAAATTGATAAAAAAAAACAAAGACATAAAACCACGGCGGCGCCTATCAATGCCTGTAACACCGGCGCTTGTAGGAGTGGCGCACCGGGAAATCTCCCGGTTTCCTGGTGGGCCCCTCTGCCATTGGTTGCGGGATAGAAATAAAATCAAGAGCAAACCGAACCTCTCGCGAAAGCAAAAATGTTTATATGCGTGCCACTGGGAATACTTCGCGGTATTATGTATTTCGAGAATATTAAGAGCTTTAAATTTATGCAACGAAAAGGCACACTCTACAGAGACGTTTAAGAAAAAAGGTGGGAATCCTCACATTTAAAAACTACTAGATATTTATTAAAACAAAAAGAAGAAAATTGTCATAGATTTAATACAGAATGGCGCGTAAATATGTTTTTTAAATTCTTTTCAAAATTTTTCAAAATAATCTTTTTGACGGTTTACAAAAATTCAAGGTTTCTCCACCCCAAGTTTTGTTATTATTAGTAATTCTTGAAAATTTTACAAAAATCGGACTAAAAATAAAGGCTCAAAAGGAATTGTAAATTTTCAAGGTGTTTGGTTTCCTCTTAAGGACATTAATGTTGATATTTCTGTTTAATAAGTGTTTAGTACTTACCAAAATCAATCTTATTATTATTATTATTATTATTATTATTCATTTTTATTATCTAGAATAATTACAAACTAGAGCACAAAATACAAAAAAAATTTAAAACCTAAAATGAAAAATGCAAGTAAACCGAAATAACGAAAAAACGAGTATGATTTTCGATAAATGAAAGTTCCCCTTCCACTCCTAGAAACATAATAGCAGCTGAACTATTTGCTTTATATGAAATCTTGGACTATTTTTCTCGAAAACTGCTGAGATTTGGACCCAAGCTATTATATTTTTTGTTAGTTTTGATTTGAGCTATTACCCATTAAAATTGGCTAAACCCTTATGTTAATACAATACGACAAGCGAGAAGTGTCCTGCGAGAAACAGATATGCATTGGCAAAAGTAGTCATTTTGATCTCTCTCTGGTTATCCCTTTTTCTTGTATGCATCTCTCTGGTCACTTCTCGCTTGTCTTTTTTCTTATAATATATTTCTACTTGTACCATTGAATTGAATTGAAAATATTTAGAATGAACTTTTAAGTCGTACATCTCCCAAAAATATTTAGAATATTTTTCAAAATAAATAATACTTTTTAGGTCATAAGGATTGTGAAAGAAAGATAGTAACTCCTTTAGATGTTGGTTTAAACCAGTTGAAATACATTATTATTATCCCATTGGAATCTTTTGGAACAGGAATGGGTCTATTTGGCAAGGAGTTATGGGGTTGGTAAAAAATATATAACATCTAATATAAAATCCTAATAGCTATTGTTGATTGAAGTATTAAAGGTGACTTTTTAAGTGGGATATGTTGCGGATTGAGTGTTAGAGATTGCAACCACATGAACAAAATTAACAAAATTGAATTTTTTGTATCATAAAATATTTATGCTTCTAGTTCAACTGATCTTACTTAACAGTTGTTAAAATCGGAATACATTCTACATTATTTGCAAAAATTCGGTTCATTGTCTTATTTTTGCAACAAATTTTGTCTGACATTTCAATCTAGTTGTTTACAAGTTTAGTGGAGTAGGAGGACAGACTGGATTCACCCAGGCAGTCGATGAGTTGATAACCTGCAAAGCTTTGATGAGCTGGGACGATGGCTGTCTCTAGACACCTCTCGGCGACACCCATATGGATTTTGGCGAGTTGAGAGACATCCTGAAGGATGCACAATGGGCCTTGTTTTGTTGTGGAGTGGAAATCCTCGTGGAACGCAGGTGCTTGGTTGTTCTCATTTAAGACCACTTCTATAGTGCCCCACGCCCTTTGCCTTTCTATCCCCCCGTGGTTTCAGTGGAAGATTGTGTATACAGGGCATTGAGATAGAATAAAGAGGATGACGATGCTAAATTGTCCGCATCGATCAGTACTAATTTTATTATTTAAAATATCTTTATTTTTGTCGTGACACATTATGGTAGAATCATCAGCAAAGCTAGTAAATAATCCATTAATATTAGGTAAGTCAAAGTACAGTCAAAAAAGTTGCGACTCCAGAAAATTAGCCTTGAGGTACACCAGTGTAAACATGGCGACAATTTGAAATATCATCCTTAACCACAACAATTTGACATTTGTTTAAAAAAAAAAAGATTTCAACCATCCCAAAGCCACAGATTACCCAGATGCGAAAGTTGACAAAGAACATAAAAATTAAGAGAGAGATAAATGGCCATACCTATTTAAAGATCCCTCGTAGCAACTCGTTTTCACTCGCGTAGTTCCGAAGGCAAAAATTATTTCATTATGCAAAGTTGCCGATGCTCCTAAATTTTCTGATGTTATGTGACAATGGAATTTAAGTCAAATGAAAATGTACATACATTTTTTAGTTACCCCCACATACTTTGATTTTTTAGTATGTGGTTACTCCAGACGTTACATACAAATAACGTATAATTAAAATCCGCTAAACAAAAATAATACAAAACCATTTAAAGGTTTATAGTTTACATTTATCAATGACAATCAATGACACTTTAAAAAAACTTTAATTTTTTATGTGACAACCTTGCTTAGGATGCTGTAAGTGAGATGACATTTCTGTGACATTCAGGACAATCAGGATCGGTCGTGACGCTTTGCGTTGTGTGCATTTTTGGACAAAAATATTGTGTATTTGTGTCTAAGTCTTCTTCTGTAGATAAATCATGAGTGAAACGAAGAATATACGTCGTGGTGGCATTTGGGCACTTATAAAATGTCTTCGAATTCATAGCTGTAAATGTATGAACACTTCTCTACTGCAACTTTCGTTTTAGATAGCAACAATATTTTTATACATTTGAAAGGTTATGATATCAAATCATTATTTGGAAGTCTAAAAACACCAACCGAATGTTTTTATGAGTACATTTATCAGTTGGAATATTGCAGTTTTTAAAAAATATGGAAAATTACTTACCTTGTCCCACACTTGGAAATAATTTGTATAATTTGTTTAACCTTCACCTGGCCTCGTGGGGTATGTACATACCCCACGCTCTTTCTCGTCGATTTTCGATATCTAAATCTTCGAAACTCGTAACGACATCTATCGGTAGTCAAGGGATATACTTTTATACCTAGGCCAGTGGGATAGCGCTCTCAAAATAAATACTTTTTAAAGACCCATGAAAACAATTATTATTCTTTTATAGTGATGTAACAGAAGAATATAGCTAAAATTTCAGCCCTTTTTACCGAAAAAGAAAAAGTTTTTTTTTGTTAAAAACGCATTTTTTTCAAGCTTTTAAATTTTCCGGATTTTTTATGAACGTTGATCTTTTTTCAATTCGAACTATTCTAGAGTTTAAAGTGGTATCTAAAGAAGATCTCTAAATTTTTTTGAGACAAAATAATCAATATTTCAATTTTTACAAAGATTTTTATCACTGGGGTTCGTACGTACCCCACGAGTCCAAGTATGTTACTCAGGATGAGCATGCCAGGTGAAGGTTAATACAGTTCAAGGATTTAAACACCCTTGTCAACATTTTTCTAATGACTACTTTTTAAATATATTTATTCGTCTTCGAATATTTTACCTAATAAAATTCGACAACATATATTTCAGAAATCAGCAAAAAAAAAAGAAAGGTATGTATGTATTTTAAGTAATGTCTTATTGAGTGCTTTAGATCTGATTCTTCATTAATTAATTAATTCATGAAGAATTTGATAAATATAAAACTAAAACCAAATTTAATGAATATTCATGACTAAATGTTCTATTTTGCATTTTCAGTTCAGAAGTATCAACCTACCAAACTATTTGTTCAATATTTGTTTTATTAGGTTTGTGGCTACATGCGATAGAATTGTAATTTCCTGCTAATAGGGTTGTATGCAATAAGTATTCAAACCTCAATTATTTAAAAAAGTTGTATTGGTATACTTGTTAGTGATGAGTTTATATTGTATCCCAACAAACAATGAATTGCCGGGATATTGCTGGTCTTTTGCTGTAATTGAAGCAAAAATGAATGCGAGGATTAAAAAATAAAAGAATACTTTTGTCCTTTTAATAGTGGCCCAGCATTATGTTGGTTGACGAATGGGTGAGAGCCAGGTAAAAGTCAAAAGGCTTTTAACTGCTGCAGACCCAACAGTCCAGGAGGGTTCCGTCCCGCGTTCATAGATGAAGACACCGATGATCACTTGCTACATACTCAACGAGTGGACATGAGGCCAGTTTGGGATTGATGGTACTCACTATTCATTGTAATTTCTTGCTCATACATGTTATTAATTTAGATTATTATATATTATATAGCTGAATTAAATAAAATGTTTACAATATTCTAGGTATATTGGAATGCATTCGGTTTTATATACTTCAAACAGTACTGCTGGTCAAAGAGGCACTATCGAATTGTACCTGGCACATGGCCTTTATTAGCAGTCAGTATTAATTTGATAAAAGGCCTGCAATTTCCCGTTAACTTTCCATCAATAGGCCATTAATTGCCAATATATTTATTTCAACACATTAAAGAGAAAACGGAGGTCTTTAACTTGATTTTATGTCTAACAAAGCCCGCTTAATAAAGTTTTAAAACCTTTACATTATAATTCGTTGCTTGTTATAACTTTTTACCTATGATAAAATTTTGAAAATATTAATACAAATCATATTCTTTTTCTATTAAAATGTTTAAAAATGAAACTCCTATCGATAACTTTTTTAACATACTAATGCTGCTACTATACATTAGTTACCTAAACCAACCCTGGCATCCAAAAAGCATGTTTAGAAAAAATCATATTTAGTAAGACTGATTGAAAATAATTAAAATTGGCAACACCTATGCCATACCCATTTAAAGGTCCAAGGCACATACTTTGATTACTATACGAGGCAAGAGAGAGGTCCGACACGCCCAACATAGGGCGCGGCCATTTTGAACCCTGTGACACAGTTTACAGCTAAAGAATCAGATCGCTCACTCTGCGTCGGCACTTTGGATCTCAATGTTTCAGTTTATACACTGTGCAACTCGGATAATACAATATATGACAACCGCCTATAATAAAACAGCAGTCTTCTGCGTATCCTGAATTTGTATCCCTGGAGTGGATGTTATTTTGGAACTTTCAACTGGTCCGAGTGAGCTAACTGATTCTTTAGCAATAAACTGTGACTTCAAAAATAATATTCACTGACATTGACAGCAGCAAGCAAAATATCAGGTGCGTTTTAATCATCCGCTTCTGCTTCCGGAATTGTCGGTTTAGTCGTTTTAACCTGTCAGATTAAAACAAGAAAACTGACAATTCCGAAGCAGAAGCGGATGATTAAAACGCACCTATTAAAAATATTGCGCCAAGATGTAGGCAACACGTAATAAGGGTTCAAAATGGCGGAGTTTTCTATCTCCTTTTAAAAGGCACTCAGAAAGCTGCGCAGTGACCATTCTCCGTATAGTAAAAGAAAATCAAAGTATGTGGTCCAAGGTCATAGAAATCTCATTTCAAAATCCTTTGATCTTTTGCCGGGTTTCGCATCTGTTGTGGTTAATCTGTGCCAAAGCTATATCCCTGAAACCATAGTTTTGCAATTTACCTAATAATATTTTATGATTTATAAGTCAAACGCCTTAGATAAATCACATAATACCACTGCAGTCACTGATTTTTCATTTAGCTCTAAATATAGTTTCTCTAGAAGAGAAAATATGGCGTCTAAAGTTTATCAATAAATAAAAATTTTTATATTTCAGAAAAACTACCATTTCCGTGGAACATACTTATCTTTCCGATAATGCTAATTTTCATCGTTTTAATGGTTTTCTTTTTTACAATTGCATTCAGAGACTCGCCATTCAAACTGAACATTATGCATTTATTTAAACTGGAGTTTGGAAAACAGCATGATGATAAAAACAGGATTTCTGGAAAAACATTGGATACATTTTTGGAAGCTACTACTTTACATCGACCTTTGCTAGAAAATGCAAGATCCTCTCCTGAAAACAAAATTAAGAAAAATAAAAATAAGAGAAATAGAAATAAGTCATTGCCAGAATGTGTTAAAAGCGATGGCACTAAGGAAAGTATTAAGGAAAGGGATACTAAAAATGATGAGGTACCAAAAGGTAGACAATTTGGTATAGAAGAGGCTATAAGTTGATAAAAGTGAGGTAATTACAGAAACGATAAATCTAACTAATAATAATGATAATGACAAGGAGTAGTAATTAGGAATAATTATCATATATTACTATCGAATACAAAAAATTATATTAATTTTTTCTTTTTTTTGTTAATAAAATATAACAAAATTTGTAGTTTTTTCCATAAACCTTACAAAAAAATATGTTTATTAATAGTTGCACATCGTGGTCCAACCCCCAAATCCTCTCGGGCATTATCTCCAAATTATCCATGCGTTCAGTCATATAGCAAACACCGCCCATGCATCGCCTGTATTGCTAGACAACCTATGTCATTTAGTTTTTTGTCTTTTAATTTGGCTTTGCCATGGAAGTTAACACATTTCACTGTGTATCTGTGTATAATATCAATATTATTTAGAGGTTTTGTGCTCCATTTACATTTTATGATTAAACTGTGTTATCTGAGATAAAAAATCTCGGAACTAGAGAAATTTACAATCAGTAGATGGTCCATTTAATGTATTAGATTGGTGGAAAAAATAGTAATTTCACTGATAATTTAAATGATGAATGAAAGATTATCCCTTTTTTTTTCAAATATCGATACCACAACATAAATAATAAGATACAACGGAACAATTAGTTTCGGTCTATGTGGCCATCATCAGACCTGTAATACAAATTTAAGTGTTGGGAGAAGGTGTACAATAACATAATATGAAATGTTAAGGCGGGTCCGCATCAATAAATTTTTTCATTGTGCCTTGTATTTAGCGCAAGTTTGTTCGTACTATGCACCGCATCAGATACAACGCACGCTATCCATCAGCCTGTCGGTTTTTGTAACGACTTCAAAGAGATTTGTGTGGAACGCTTGTGTGAATGTGGACTTACTTGATCTCCAAATTATTTAAAGTTTTATTATTTCGAGGATACGAGTGTGGCGTCATGTCTCTAAGGGCCGATCTTTTCACCTCTGAGTAAAGTTACATGTAGGTTTACTTAACAGATTAACAAACAATAGCTCTTTAGTTTAATCAGCAAGTAGTTACTTTCAACTTTACTCAGAGGTGAAAAGACAGACCCTAAATCTTAAACAATAAATTAATGAATGTTTTTTGTTGTTGTATTGTTACTAGTCATTATTGACTAACCTACAATTTTGATCTAAAAATCTTTTGAACTAATTATTTATCTAAGAAGTACCCATTGGGTTGTCTTAATTGTTTCTATAGGAAAGCATCACAAGAAGGCGTGACGATTTATTACACTGTTTTAAACTATACTCGGACAAAATATTGGAGGTGAGTCATATGCATGATCAACACTGTTGTTTATGAATGAAAATTCCGACAGAGTTAGCATAGGCGGCGTATCAAATACCAAATTATTATTTATTAGGTATTTGTTAGTAAACTTTATTAAATTTGTTTGTCAACATCTTTATTTAAACAAAGATGATGCGGTAAATATACGTTTTTGATAGTTTTCAAGAAATTAATATATTTATTCCCTAATGACTTCGTTATCTGTGTTTAATGGTTTCAAGTAAATAAACGACAGACGAGTTACATATTGAATATTGTCAGCACAGGCACAAAGACAGTTGAAAACTAACTTTCGACGAAGTTAGATTTGTATCGGTTTAACTATTTACGATAATTATTTTATATTTTATGAACACTTTTGTATAAGTGCTCTTTTCTGATATACGAGTAGGTGTTCATATTTGTGCCTTACAATTTGGTAGTGATAGCCGAGAATACCGATCAAGGAGAAGCGACAGTAGCTGTCGGTGCCTTTGATATCGGATGTACCATTTTCACAGTATGACTTTGACTGATACACAACTTAGCACGCTGAGAAAACATGCTTATTTTCTACACTGAGCGAAATAGTTTGGCAAATTATCTGAAATTATTGTTATAGTCCATGCGCAAATGTTGCAATGTGATTTAATTACATTGAAGTAGTTAGGGTTAATAGCAATGCTGAAATTTCGGCACCAAAATATAATTCATTATGTAATAATTAATTATTTATTATAAAAGTAAAAGACGTTTATTATTTTATAATTTATCTATAAAATTTGTTCAATATGTGGTTTATTTATTGTTAAAAATGTAAAAAAAAGCCCTATATTTAAATTAAATTACTTTTTCCTTAACTAAAAATAAGGTAAATAAAATTAAGGGTGTCAAAAAAAATTTTGGTAACAATTAAAAAGACATTAAGTTTGAGAGGTTTAACTAAATATTTGCAATGTGTATATATTTTCAAAGCTTTTAGGTTTAAAAAGTAATTACATATTTTTAGAATTTCTAGATTTATATGATATTAAAAGGACTTTTAAGTTTATCACTCATTTCTGTAGAAACAAGTGTTTTCTCGCCAAGTTAAACCAGATGTCATTTAAGGTTTGTGTATTTAGAGTTAAATACCTGGCCTGGCTATTACCCAGACAATACAAATATGTCCATTGGACGTCCATTCGATATACAATTTTCGATGTCTAGACGTCCAAAAATGAGTTTTCTGGACTTCCGACATCCAATGGACGTCCAGTGAAGTATACAAATGGCACACTTTTGACCATTCAGAGGACGTCCAATTCTGGAATATATTTGGACGTCGAATACTGGACATTCAAAAAACGTCCAGGATTATATTTCCATTGAGACCACATCCCCACTTTTTTACAGAACCGCAACTCACCACACACTATTTTATATTATTAATAATTTGTTACTTTCGCAAATCGCTTTACACTATTTATTTATTTATTTTTTATTAAAAATCGTTTGACCTGAGCAGGAATCAAACTCACGACACATCCATTATCGTTTTACGCTTTCAATCGCTAGACGAGCTCTACAAAGGAACCACTTGAACACTTTTTACTAGATACAGTTATAATTGAATGAGATTTCAAACTTCCGCTGATAGAATGAAATGCAATAGATTCAATTTGTCAACTTTTAATGACCAGTTATATTAAAAAAAAGAAGTATATATAGATGGGTATTATCTGGTAGGCTTAATAAATAATTACCTAAGATGGACGTCCGCTGGACGTCAAAATACTACTGAACTTAAAATTAAGTCCAAAAACAGACGTTCTCTGGGTATCGATATTCAGCTGTCAATTTAATTAGCATAAACGGACGTACACTAGATGCCCGGATATGGACGTCCTGACCCTCAAATAGATCTAAAGTGGACGTCCATTGGACTATGTGTGCATACACGAATTTTTAGAAATAGTACTTATTTAAGTATGCACCAATATTTCCAAAATCAACTCCAGTATGATTCATTCAATAAATGTAAATATGAATGGGCAAAACATCTTTATATTGACACAATTTAGCCATAATAAAGGGATTTTGCCCACTTTGAACAATCCTAATTGAAATACGCGAATTTATTATATTTTTTTAAATATAATTTCAAAATAAAATAAACAAAATCTGCAGTTCATTGTTTATTAAATTTATTTAAAAGAAGAAAAATATATATTTCACAAAATACAATACCTACATATGAAACAAAAAATGTCAAAAATGATTAAATCATTATAATTAATATTTATGCATGTGATAAAATTCTTAGTTTCCTAATAACTTTTTTGGCACATTTTATATCTGTATTAGAATACCTAAGTATGTAAAAATCTTCATCTTATTACTACACAAAACAAACACCAAAAAATATCACTTAACATTGCTCACGTACTAAACACAACTTGGACTGACTTTGACAGATAACATAATTTTGAGTAATACACAACTTATTTTCGCACATGCGCGTTACAAAACGGTACACTGAAAACACCAAGCTGTCGCTTCTCCTTGATCGGTATTCTCGGGTGATAGTGCATATTCGAGGAATTATATTTATTGTGTAGTATATTAGGAAGGTACTTTAAAAGTTTATTAAATAGTAAAATATTGGTGTCTTTATAAATTTAATAAAAACAATTTAATAGTAGAATTATATTGTTACAATAGTAATGGATTCAGAGGCGGGTATCAGTGAAACCCAATTACGTCGGCGAAAGCCCTTATCAAAGGGATGAAAAGAACATTATATGGAAAGTGTATGATGGGCTGAAACAGACACTTCCTACAAATGAAGCTGTAAACCGCAGTTCTTTTTTAACTGGAGTATCTGTTTCAACAATTGAACGTATTGTACGCGAAAAGACAAAAAAAGGCTCCTTAGAAGACCCTAAAACGCATACCCGTGGTCGAAAATTGTTGAAATTGGACGATAACCAAAAACAAATCATTCGAAGAACTGTACATTCTTTTTTTTTTTTTTTTTTTTTTTTTTTTTTTTTTTTTTTTTTTTTTAAACAAAGCCCCCACACTTAAAGTTGTTCTTACGAAATTAAAAGAAAACGAAGAAATTCCATTAATGAGCCGTGAAACTTTACGAAAAATTTTATGGGACCTAAAATTTCGTTTTGTCAAACGGTGTAGGAAATCAATTTTAATTGAGAGGTCAGATATAGTGTCCTGGCGACGGCGTTATTTACGAAATATTAAAGAGTTTAGAGCCGTTAAAAAAAGATATACTATCTCGATGAAACGTGGGTGAATGCTGGACACACGGTATCTAAGATATGGCAAGATACTTCTGTAACTAGTCATCGCCAAGCTTTTATAGAAGGATTATCTACAGGTTTGAAAGCACCATCAGGTAAAGGATGGCGCCTAATTGTTACCCATATCGGAAGTGACAGTGGATTTTTGGAAAATAGCGCTCTTGTGTTTATATCGAAAAAACAGGAAACTACCACGAGGACATAAATGCGGAATGCTTTGAAAAATGGTTTACTGAAGTATTACAGCGTGTAGAACGAAATTCAGTTATTGTACTAGATAACGCTTCTTATCACAGTCGACGAGTTGAACGCATTCCGATAATGTCTAGTAGGAAAGCAATAACATTTACTGAGGAGATGCTTAAAGTGGAATTAATGGACCTAATAAAAGAACACCGCCATAAATATATTCAATATGTTGTCGACACAATGGCTCGTGATCGTGATATTATGGTATTAAGACTTCCCCCTTATCACTGCAAATTCAATCCTATTGAACTAATTTGGGCGCAAGTGAAAGGGTTTGTAGCTCGAGA